ATTCAGAACTTAATAAGCATGATAAAAACTAGCTAACGCTGATCTAGCAGGTGCCCAGACACTCGTTTGCACAGGAGGGGGCCGGTGCTCATAACTCTCATTTATTCACAGGGTCCTGATAAAACCATTTAACGAAGACCACTGGAGTTGAATCTGTTCTTTCTTAAACTTGGCCTTGCCCCATGCTGTGCATCTCATCTATATATAGTGTTTCCATCTCCATCTTCTGATGGTTTGAGCAATACGGAGCCTCTGTTTTCCATCTGATTTCCCATGACTTTGAGTTCAGGTTTTTTTTTTTTTTTCCCAGGACTACACAGATTTTATCAACTTTCCCCTATTGTCGTGTCTCACTCATTTTGATAAAAATAACATTTCTGAATATAAAACTAATGTGTAAAATTATAGAAAGTTTCAAAAATATGAAAATACAGAAAGAAGGAACTAGGTATCACTCATAATTCCACTACCTGGAGGCAAGTGGTATAAATTTTTTGTGTTTTCATCTAAAGATTTTTCATGTCCTATACACTTTAAAAATCAATTTTATATTTTACTTTTGTTCATAGAACACTATGTTGTGAGGATTTTCTGAATGTTGATACAAACTCATTAAAGCATTCCTTCTTCCACTTAGAATGGCTGCATTAAATTGACTTTAATATTCCTATCCTATTATGCATTTAGCCTGGCTGCTCACACTCTGATGCTACAATAACAGCTGCTCAGCCTAATGTTCGTAAGTCTCTAACCACATGTCACAACAATTTTCTTTGGATTGTTTCTAGAAGTGAATAACTGGAGCTGGGCAATAGAAACGTTTTAGAACTCTGGGCAAAATACTTAAATTTGCATCCATTGCATAAGAATGTGTTCTTCCATGGAATGGCTGCATTAAATTGACTTTAATATTCCTATCCTATTATGCATTTAGCCTGGCTGCTCACACTCTGATGCTACAATAACATTGTGCTCAGCCTAATGTTCGTAAGTCTCTAACCACATGTCTAACAATTTTCTTTGGATTGTTTCTAGAAGTGAATAACTAGACTGGGCAATAGAAACGTTTTAGAACTCTGGGCAAATACTTCAAAATTGCATCCATTGCATAAGAATGTGAATTTCGTAATTTTCCTTCTCATTTGGGATGCTAAGGTTAAATATTAACATAATGCTGCCAGTTTCATAAACCTTCCCCACCAACAAGAAGCACATCAGCCTGTTTTAATCTGCATGTCTTTCATGATTAGCCCTCTCATTGTCTCTGCTTCTCTTATTGTGCCGAACTGTCATTACCCAAATCTGTGCCCTACTTTCCTCTGAAGACTTGTGCTGTGATTGTAAGAATTGTATAAATATCAATGGCTTTAACCAAAGAGTTTTACAAGGTACGTTTTGGGCAGCATGCTGCCTATAATAAGTTATATCATTCCCAAAAGCTCTTTCTTCTGTGGTTGGCTCTGAGTTTCTTTGGAAAATGTTCAAGGGGCAAAGGCGAGGTCAAACCCTCCCTTTAGCAAGTTTTGCTTGACCTTGAGGCAGCCATTTAACAGGTGGATTACAGAGCCACAGAAGGATGGCATCTTCCCAAGCACATTTCCTGCTGAGCTGAGGGTGCAGTGAAGGAGACTGACAAAGATGAGTGAATAGATTCTTCTTCATTCTCACATAGAAATGACATGTGTGGGTGGGGCATGAGGTTAGGGATGGGTAAGCTCCCATTGTTAAATCCTTTTGTGGATGAATATTTAAGGATGTTAAGAAATGATGGTTGGAGGTGGTGGCTTATGCCAATACTCTCAGCACTTTGGGAGGCTGAGGTGGGAGGATTGTGAGGGCCTAGGATTTCAAGACCAGCTTGGGCAACATAGTGAGATCCTGTTTATACAAACACATTTAAAAAGGAAATAATTATACTACAAAAGACCGTATATAATGTATGGTATATATACACTACAAAATATTGTATATAATATCATCCCAAGTTTATATACGTGAAAGAGAGGTATGCTAAAATAAAAAAGAAGCATTCTCTGAGTGGTAGAGTTATGAGTGATATTTTAAATTTGATTGTTAAAATTCATTTTTAAATGATATAGGATATGGAAAAATTTTAGAAGGAATTACAAAAAATACAGCCCTTGTCTCAGGGAGTGGAATTATGAGTGAATTCTAGTTTTGCTTTATGGGTTTCCATATTTTTGTCTCTTCTAATTATTCCTAGTTGTTTTTGTTTTATTTTCCAAATTTCTTACTGTACCCAAAGGAGAAGACGTTGTAAATTTTCTCCACCAGCCTGGCATTGCCCTGACTCTTTCCTTCTGCTATGCTCATTCTCAGCAAACTGGCCAGAACTTGAAAAGCAAATACCGCATATTCTCCACTCATAGGTGGGAATTGGTTCAATGAATCCTTCGACACAGGAAGGGGAACATCACACACAGGTCTGTGTGGGGAGGAGAGGGAAGGGATAGCATTGGGAATATACTAATGTAATGGCTTGAGTTAATGGGTGCAGCACACCACCATGGCACATGTCCCATATGTAACAAGTCTGCATGTTGTGTACATGTACCCTAGAACTTAAAGTATAATTTAAAAAAAATAAATAAAATAAAAAGGAAGTATCAACTTTTACCAAGAGTAGGAATGGATGATGGACTAACGTTAAAAAATAAACACTATATCCATACAACAACAACATAAATAAATAAATAAATAATAAAAATAAATTAAGAAAGGGTTTTTAAGCAGAGGATGCTTTCTTTACTAACCTTTCCAGGAGACATATATCTGACTAAGGAGGCAACACAGACGTGCAAAGCTGAAGGATACAGAATGGTAGATTCTCAATAATATCCACTGTGATCATCTGGATCCATGTGCCTGAAACCATCAACTCCTGAGATTTCCAGTTTACAGAGGGTCTTTATTGCAATACATTTCTTTTTCTGTTCAAGGCACTTGAGGAGAGTCTCCTCCATCTCTCCCATTAGATAGCTAGAAAGCTCATCAAGCTCACTGATCTCATCTACCACTCCATGCTTCTCTTTGGTGTGTATTCATAACATTACAGTAACTGTAATGTTGCACTGTAGTTCACAGGTCTGACCTCTGCTCAGGACGTAACCAATTGACTCCCTCCATTAAGGATTGTAGTCCCACTAGTCAGGAGTGTGTGTGTGTGTGTCTCTGTGTGTGTGTCTGTATATGTGTGTGTCTGTATATGTGTGTGCATATATGTGTGTGTGTGTGTGCATGTATGTTTACAAGAAGGCAGTGGGTAATCATGGAGGTACTTCCACAGATCTCAAAGCCTCAAAGGATGTCCCAGGATCTTAGGGATGGGTTTTTCCCAAAGACTCAACTCTTCCCTTTTAACCGCAATTCCTCTGATGCCACATGCAGAATTGCTGGAATATTCGCCTCCTTCCAGGCAGCAGAAAACATAGGTGTGTTTTAATTCCTTGAGCACTTTGGTCATGAGGCCTGAGCCCAGGACCTAAGCCCCAAGATCACACTGGACTCAACCCTTGGAGACACAAGTAGGGAGTTCAGTGGTAGAGGCTGGCCCTGAGACCCAGGAGTGGCCTCAGGTCCAAGGAGAGAGTCCAGGGATCAGGCTACTCCTGAGCTTGGAATTTATACCCTTCTCCCTCAAAGGCAATAGTTTGCAGTGTCCCTGGGTGCTGTGTCATCTGGGTGTTTGTCCTGCTGGGCTTCCCTGTGATGAGAGACTGCCATGGCCATCCATCAATCCTAAAAATTCACAAGTCCTAATATGTGGGGACAGCAGGGGCATGGAAGACCTCTGAGCCCTGCAAGGTGTGGGTTGTAGATCCCACAGTGTTGCTTCTGTGACTAATTTGAACTGTAACATGGGCCAATTACAAAATTCATCTGTTTTGTTACCTCTATTAAAATGGTACACAAAGCCAAGTCTCAAAGCTGAATTTCTCAAGAAGATAAGGTGGAGTCAGGGTTGAGGCATGAACTCCCGGGTCACCCTGTCTGGTCTCAAACCCAGCTCCTCCACCTTCCCTGTGAAGCATCCCTGATGACTATAATGGTCACTTCCCCTCTGTGCTGCCACCATACTCAACCTGTGAAGTATACAGATGTGTTTCTCTTTGGATAGATCATGTGAGCAGGGATATGTCCACTTCATGTCTGTTTCTGCCACTGCTTTTGTTCCACCATACTGGGCATGGATGGATGGATGGATCAATGGAGGATGGATGGAATTAAGTCCCAATACATGGGGAGGTATAGTTGAATTGGATGGATACATGAATAGATGGGTAAAAACTAGTGGATAGGTGATAACTGGTTGGTTTGGAGGAATGGGTGATGGAGTGAAGATATAAGGTGACTGGATGATCCATGAATGGTGGATGGATTGAAAATAGATAAACACAAAGTTATGAATAGGTGGACATTAGATTGATAAAAAGATATAAGTTAATTGGATGGATTAGTGAACAGATAGATAGATAAGAAGATCATAGTAGATGGATTAACAAATGGGTGGACGGATGACTATCCATCTGGGATGAAAACCGAGTCAAGATCCTCCAGAAAATCTAGAAAACTGGACCACCACCAGGTCTAATACAGACAGTTTCTAAGTCAACCAAGATAAATTGTGACATCTTTCGAAAATCTTTGAGCTTAATATCTCCATCCCCAAATTCAGAACGTGGTGTCCCTGGAATATATGACATTAATTTCTTAGCGATACGTGTGAAAACAAGAATGGCAAAATAATAAATTTTCGTCAGGATTGAAGGATTATTTACACAATTTTTATCATGTTGTTTTTGGACTTTTTTTTTTTTTAACATTTGTGGCATTTTACACTAAAAAAGGACCAAATCAGATTCCTACATTCAGATACTGAGGCTCTGAAAGGCAGACACTGTCCCAGGTAACTGTCCAGGCTGAAATGAAAGTCTTGGACGAAGTTTACAGGGTTTGGGCTATGGGAACAGGCACACTACCATTTTCAATGTTGTCTCCAAAGGCTCTCTTCCGTCTTCTGTCGCAGGCAGTAGACCCATGACAGCTGAGGTGGTGGTTTGACACCCAGCTTAATTGATAATAATTGCTGCAAAGATCACGGCAACAGCAGAGTTCAGAGCTACCACTTCCCTCCCTGAAGTGAAAGTGGCATACTATCTGACCTTGCACAAGTGGCAGGGCAGCAGACCCATGCTGTAGACCCGCTGTGGGTGTAGGTTCCAGATCCACAGAGCGTTGCCTCTGTTACTTGTATTTCAATTGTAATGCAATGGACATATTATCCTAGCTGAATGTGTCCAAGAAAGACGAGGTGGAACCGGGGGTAGAGGAGCATGGAATCCTGAATTTCCTTGTCTTTCAAATCCCAGCTGCTCCACTTACCAGCCATTGGGCCGCAGGCAGTTCACACAATTTCTTTGGGCCTTGGTTTCTCCACCCCATGGATGAATAATGACTGCCTACCTCATGGTTAATACATGGGAGAGTGCCATGTCTCCACAATAAATAAGTGCAGAATTGCAGGAGGGCTGAATAAGGCGATTCCACAGAGGCACTTTAGAAGGTAGCGAATGTGCTTTAAGGTGATTCTTTTTTTTTTTTTTTTAATAACAAATCCTCCCTGTTTGTTGTTCACTTTTCCCCATTTCCACATACGGCACAATCAGGAGCTGTTCTGTTACCCACTCCCCTGACTCTGCTTTCCCAGGGCAGAAGTGATATAACAGTTTGAATTTCTCATTGTCACCCATCAACCCGTCATTTTACATAAGGTATAACTCCCAGTGCAATCCCTCCCCCTCCCCCTCCCCACTGATAGGCCCGGTGTGTGATGTTCCCCTTCCTGAGTCCAAGTGATCTCATTGTCAATTCCCCACCTATGAGTGAAACATGCAGTGTTTGGTTTTCTGTTCTTGTGATGGTTGCCTTAAGAATGATGGTTTCCAACTGCATCAATGTCCTACAAGAGACAGAGTGAGAACATGCGGTGTTTGGTTTTCTGTTCTTGTGATAGTTTGCTGAGAATGATGGTTTCCAGCTGCATCCATGTCCCTACAAAGGACGCAAACTCATCCTTTTTTATGGCTGCATAGTATTCCATGGTGTATATGTGCCACATTTTCTTAATCCAATCTGTCACTGATGGACATTTGGGTTGATTCCAAGTCTTTGCTATTGTGAATAGTGCTGCAATAAACATACGTGTGCATGTGTCTTTATAGCAGCATAATTTATAATCCTTTGGGTATATACCTAGTAATGGGATGGCTGGGTCATATGGTACATCTAGTTCTAGATCCTTGAGGAATCGCCATACTGTTTTCCATAATGGTTGAACTAGTTTACAATCCCACCAACAGTGTAAAAGTGTTCCTATTTCTCCACATCCTCTCCAGCACCCGTTGTTTCCTGACTTTTGAATGATCGCCATTCTAACTGGTGTGAGATGGTATCTCATTGTGGTTTTGATTTGCATTTCTCTGATGGCCAGTGATGATGAGCATTTTTTCATGTGTCTGTTGGCTGTATGAATGTCTTCTTTTGAGAAATGTCTGTTCATATCCTTTGCCCACTTTTGGATGGGGTTGTTTGTTTTTTTCTTGTAAATTTGTTTGAGTTCTTTGTAGGTTCTGGATATTAGCCCTTTGTCAGATGAGTAGATTGCAAAAAATTTTCTCCCATTCTGTAGGTTGCCTGTTCACTCTGATGGTAGTTTCTTTTGCTGTGCAGAAGCTCTTTAGTTTAATGAGATCCCATTTGTCAATTTTGGCTTTTGCTGCCGTTGCTTTTGGTGTTTTAGACATGAAGTCTTTGCCCATGCCTATGTCCTGAATGGTACTACCTAGGTTTTCCTCTAGGATTTTTATGGTATTAGGTCTAACATTTAAGTCTCTAATCCATCTTGAATTAATTTTCGTATAAGGAGTAAGGAAAGGATCCAGTTTCAGCTTTCTACTTATGGCTAGCCAGTTTTCCCAGCACCATTTATTAAATAGGGAATCCTTTCCCCATTTCTTGTTTCTCTCAGGTTTGTCAAAGATCAGATGGCTGTAGATGTGTGGTATTATTTCTGGGGACTCTGTTCTGTTCCATTGGTCTATATCTCTGTTTTGGTACCAGTACCATGCTGTTTTGGTTACTGTAGCCTTGTAGTATAGTTTGAAGTCAGGTAGCGTGATGCCTCCAGCTTTGTTCTTTTGACTTAGGATTGTCTTGGAGATGCGGGCTCTTTTTTGGTTCCATATGAACTTTAAAGCAGTTTTTTCCAATTCTGTGAAGAAGCTCATTGGTAGCTTGATGGGGATGGCATTGAATCTATAAATTACCTTGGGCAGTATGGCCATTTTCACGATATTGATTCTTCCTATCCATGAGCATGGTATGTTCTTCCATTTGTTTGTGTCCTCTTTGATTTCACTGAGCAGTGGTTTGTAGTTCTCCTTGAAGAGGTCCTTTACATCCCTTGTAAGTTGGATTCCTAGGTATTTTATTCTCTTTGAAGCAATTGTGAATGGAAGTTCATTCCTGATTTGGCTCTCTGTTTGACTGTCACTGGTGTATAAGAATGCTTGTGATTTTTGCACATTAATTTTGTATCCTGAGACTTTGCTGAAGTTGCTTATCAGCTTAAGGAGATTTTGGGCTGAGACAATGGGGTTTTCTAAATATACAATCATGTCGTCTGCAAACAGGGACAATTTGACTTCTTCAGTTAAAGGTGAGTTCTAAAGAAAAACAGGATGTCTTCCCTTGTAAGACATAGACGGGGTTTCTCAGCTGAGTGAGGCATCTGTGGCACAGCCAGGAGTTTCCAGCGGCACATTTGTGTACTAGAGTCGCAAGCAGTAATCAAGCACGACTCTTTAAGGCATAGGTCAACAATGTGCCCATCAAGGCCAAATAGTAAATATTTGAGGCTTTGTGGGCCGCGTGGTCTGTGCTGCAAATTTAACACTGCTGTTGACATGAAACACAGCCATAGACATGGGGTAAATGAATGGGTGTCACTGTGTTCAAAGAAAACTTCCTTTATGGACACTGAAACTTGAATTTCATATAATTTTATGGTTCATGAAATATTATTCTTCTTTTGATTCCTTTCAATCATCAAAAAATTTTTAAAAACCTATCTTAACTCAAGGGCCATGCAGGCATAGATCCAGATGTGACCATGAGCGATGGTTTGTTCACCTTTGTCCTAAGTCAAGCCACAGAGCAACACCAATTAGTGCACCAAGAACTCTTTCAATCTTTAAAAATATGTAAAAAACGTAAAAATAAAAAAAGCCCTCCTGAGAGTGAGGCTCCCTTATGCCTGTCCTGGGGATTGGGTTCAGTCTGCCCAGCACACTCTGGTTTCCTTCTTTTCTAAGAGTCCAGGGACATCGAAACAAAGACAGGACAGTGAGCCTCTCTCCTAAGTGACCTGGAATTGGGGTGGAGAGCTGCTAATGTAAACACACTCATTTTTCACAACAGAAAAGATAGCCTGACTACTTTCTGGAACCAAAGGAGAGTCCTTAAACTTAGGGGCAGATAGATTGCTCATGCAGACTGGAAACAAAGTGCAGCCAGAAAGAAGGGCACAGAGGGAGAGCAGGCAGGCTCCATGATGGGGAGCTAGGGCGAGTGTACATGCCCCAAGAGCCTGGTGCAGGATCTGGAACAGAATCAATGCCCAGAGTGTTTTTCGAGTAAATAAACAGGGACCGGGAGAAGTAGAGGGCGAGACAGAGAGAGAGAGACAGAGAGAGAAAAAAGAGAGTCTACGATTCCCATCATTTTGTAATTTCTGTTTCCTATTTTTTCACAAAGCCCAGCCTCATCCCAGACCTCTATTTCCTTGAAAAATTAATTCTTCCTTTATAAAGAAGTGTTTGAGACAAGGTCTTGCTTTGCTTCCCAGGCTGGAGAGCCATGGTGCAAACACAGCTCACTGCAGCCTAGACCTCCTGGGCTCGGGTGATCCTTCCTCTTCAGCCTCCCATGTAGATGGGCCCAGAGGCTTGCACCACCATGCCAGCTCAATATTTTGATATTTTGTAGAGACAGGGTCTCACTTTGTTGCCCTGGCTGGTCTTGAACTCCTGGGCTCAAGCAATCCTTCTGCCTCGGCCTCCCAAATTGCAGGGATGACAGGCATGAGCCACCACACCAGGCTAATGCTTCTTCTTGACTTAAGTTGGGTCAATGGGCGACTGTTGCTTATAACCAGTGAATTCTAAAAAAATTCTGAAAAATTCTAAAAATTCTTGACATCCCCATTTTCTCTCCTATGTACCAGCCCTTTAAATTTGGATGCTGTCCTCAAACAAGCTTTCACATCTACTGAAATCCTCCATGCCACTGGCTCCAATGGGCACTCCTCAGCCTAGGTCTGGATTCCTATTTGTCACCTCTTCCTTTGACTTCCAATCATTCTCCAGACAATGACAAAATCCTTGCCAGGGTCCTGTGCAGTGTGACCCCTGCCAACATCCCAGCTCTCAGTACTCGCCACGCTCCTCCTGCTCTCCCTGCTCTGACCCCATCGGCCCTGTCTGTCTCTCCCTCGAGATTGGGATGCGGCCTCCTGCCACAGGACACACACATGTGCTGCTCCCACTCCCTGGACATTCTTTGCTCCTGACTCACTGGTCACTTTTCCAGCAAGCCTTCCCTGGTAACCTCTTCCTGCCCTGGGATTCAAAGCTCTCTTTAGATTCTGCTGTAGCAGCAAGTACCTCACCTTCACTGCTCTTGTCATAGGTGACGCTTTGTAATTGTGTGATTCTGTAACTACTCATCTATTCCCTACATTATAGCAGAAGTTTGGGGAGGTGTTAGGTGTTTGGCTAGAATGCAGAGCCACATAAGGCCATATAGTGTCCACATTTCCTCCACGTGGACATCTGGTTTTGAGCCAAACAATGACCTCTGCCCACTTCTTGTTCTTGCCTTCACTTATTCACCTAGTTTTGTTGTGTGAACAAATGAAACAATGAGTGAATTCTCCAGGAACCAACCCTGGTTATCAGGCGCTCAGTGTGGAACCGCTCCAGGCCTACAGCCCACAAGTGGGTCCACAGAACTCAGACCCTGAGAGATACAAGACATCATCTCAGCCCACTGCCCCCTGCCCACTGCCCAACATGGCACCAGGCCCTGGCACATAGGAGGAGTGTGGTCACAGACAGGGCACTGTACTGGCTGCAAAGGCCATGAGCTGGAGTCCCAGCTCTGCCTTGATCACCTGCTGCCCTTGGCAAACCCCTTCCAAGCCCTGTGTCGGTTTCCCCGGTTGTGAAACTGGGACGTTGATCAAGGTGTCTCCTCGCCCTTCCTGCTCAGCCATTGATGCCTCAAGTGATTCTAGCAGAACATTAGCTAGAACCCACCGCAAGAGAGACCCCTGAGGATTCAGGAGCATAGAGCCAAGGGGGTGGGAGCGTCCACCAGGAGACCTACCTCAGCCAAGGGCTTGACATTGTCTTTCTTCACCAGAACAGCAGTGAGGGCCACGCCACTCTCAGAAATGGCCCGGTGGAAGAGGTTCTTTGCCAATGGAGACAAAACCTGAGAGCAGAGTGGAGGGGAGGAGAGTTCATGCTCAGGAGTGGGGTCAGTGACTTGCTCGCTCTTCCAGGCTACATCTACCCCACCTCTGCCCTGACCCATTCCCCTGAGACCCTGGGGCTCAGTGGACGCAACGGCTCCTCACCTGGCCCTGACTGCTTGCCAGGCTCTCCACCCACCTGGCCACCCAAGGGAACCTCAGCGGGATTGGGACAGAGCACAGGGCAGGGACATAATGGGAGGTGTGTGGCAGCCAAGCCTAACCAACAAATTTATTGGAAAGGCAGCTTAGCATCTCCTAGCCACAACTTCCGAATCAGCATCTCCATTAATCAGAGTTTATCCTAAAAAGTGATCCTGGCGGCACACAAAGATTTCTAAGAATGCCTCTGCTGTTTATAATGATACACACTGGAAATAACTCACAGTTCCAATATTATACAATTGGGCTAATAAATGGTTTTTCATTTTTATCATGGAATACTGTGCAACTGTAAAAGATACTATTAAGGGACAGCACTTAATATTTAGTAAAATAGTTGCATTGTATTATAATATTCAGGAAAGTACTTTTGTAAATAAAAAAGACAAAGATAGATAATAGATGATAGGTAGATTCATTGATAGGTAGATGAATGGATAGATGGATAGACAGATAAATAAAAAGTCAAGGAAACAAGACTAGAAAAATCCATGTCAAACTGAGCATAGTGACTATCCCCGGGTTATGGGATTGTAGATGGCTTTTTGTCTTTCTTGGGCTTATCTGTATTTTTCGTTTTTCTCTACTTTAAAAAGTATAAAAATTTTTCCTCTTGTATTCAAGTACAAAACCAACACAGGATTGAAGACTTCAGCAGTGGCCTGACCCTCTGCCCACCTCGAGGCAGGCGGAAGGCTTCCTACAGCTCCCGGCACTTCTCATCTGGTTTTTCACCCCAGCTCCCTGTTTCTCCCGCACCCAATCCCCTACTCCAGCAGGACCCCTCACACTCCCAGGTTGTGTCTGTGTCCCACAACCTCTGCCCCATCCCTCCCTATCCCCGGCTCCATCCCTCCTTCCTCTAGCCCGCCTCTCCTAGCCTACCAGGCCCAACAGTCGCAGAGACTGCTGCCTCCTTCTTGGGCATGGACCAGCCATCAGACCACCCCAGAGGAATCCCCAGCCTGCTCAGTGTCCATGTCCCCTCCACAACTAGTTCTATTTTAACTAAACAATGACCTCTGTCCACCTCTTGTCTTTGCCTGCCCTCACTCATAATTTATGCCTATCCCTACTTCCCAATAGAAGGGATGTGAGTATTTATGTGAAAATGAATGGGAAGGAGAGAGAGAGAGAGAGAGAGACAGAGCTGAACCAAGCTAGAAGAGGAGAATGCCACCGTTGCAGGCTGCAACTGGAGATTCATATGGCCCCGCAACACTAAGCTGAGCTCTGAGCTTCCTGGGGGTCAAAGAGAGCTTGGTCTTTAGCTTTCCACCCCCTGATGCTAGGCAGTGAGTAGGGTCAGTTCCAAATCCAGGTATTGTAATCAGAGGTATCCATAGCTGGATTGACAGGTGTCCAAAAGGTCTCATCAGCATCACATCAAGCATGGGGTTGGACCTGGTGCCAGGAGCACTCACAAGAACAGAGACACTTTCTCCTCCCGCTGACTCTCCAAAGATGGTCACAGAGCCTGGGTTCCCTCCAAAGCTGGCAATGTTGTCCTGGACCCAGCGCAGGGCAGCCAGCTGGTCCAGGTGACCCCAGTTCCCCTGGCTGTGTTCATCCCCTGTGCTGTGAGGAAGAGAAGAGTTTGAGGGTGCGGAGCAGAGATGTCATGGCAGGACCTTCAGGACTAGAGGTGGGACTGGGGGCTCTCAGGGAGCCTTTAAGAATAAGACTGGGCTTCAGCATCTCTGAGACCCTGCCTTTATTGCTACATCATTGTGGTGATGTATGGTTCTACATTCACTCAACTGGCAACTATTTACTGAGCATCTACTGTATGCCTGACACCATCCTATGAGCTAGAGCACATCCAAGAGCAAAACAGGCAACACCTGTGATGACACAGAGCTCCCACTACAGATCACAAGCAGATAAACGGATGTACAGAGAGAATATAATGATGTTAGGTAGTCAAAGTGCATTGAGGTAAATACAAAGGAATAAGAAAAAAACAGGGGTGGCACAGGGGGTGCCATTTCAGATTGCAATCAGGGAAGGCCTTTTGGAGGCAGTGGCATTTGAGGTTTTGGAGGCAGAGACCTTCAGAAAACAAGCACAAAGAGCACATGAGCCTTGTAACTCTCCGAAGAAAGGAATTCCAGACAGAAGAAAAAGCAAGTGCAAAGGCCCTGGGGCCCAGTGAAGGAAAGTGTGAGTCAGGAGGTGCAGCTAGAGAGAGCCCTGGGGCCCTGATAAGAACTTTGGCTGTCATCGTAGGGAACATGGGAACCCCTGCAGGGTTTTGTGCAGGGGCATTGCAAGATTCAACACACATGTTAAGTGATCACTCTCAGTACCGTGCGACACAGTCTCAGGATAAAAGTGGTAGGAATCTGAAAGTGTTAGGATCATAATCAAGGTGAGAGACAGAGAGCTTTGACCAGGTAAGGAGTCAGAGAGAAGGTGCGAAGTAGTGGATTCTGAGTGGATTCTGAAGGTGGAGCCAAGAGGGTTGTGAGAAAAGAGAGAGTCCAGGCTGCCCTGAGGCCTTCTCTTGAGCCCCTGGGAGGATGGGACAGCAGCAACTGAGTGGAGGCGTGGTGGGAGGAGCAGGGGATCTCTGTTGTGGAGGGGCAGTGGGAGTCAAGGATTCAGCTTGTCCCTGGGAAGAGTGGGGCGCCCTTTAGACAGCCAGGAGTGGGGAGAAGGCAGTGAGTGACGCCTGCGGGATTCAAAGGTGAGATGGGCTGGAAACAGGGGCTCTGGGCTGCTCCCTGGGATCACTGGAATTAGTAGGGAGGGAGAGGGAGACAAGAGAGGCCTGTGGACAGGGAGGAGGAGGGACCAGGAAAGGGACTGGGAAGGAAGCATGTTGCAGAGGCTGAGCGGCCATTGGCTGCTGCTGGGACGTCCTGTGAGGTTGGATGGAGAGCAGGGGCAGGTCATTGGTGACTGCAATGAGACCAGCCGTGTGGCATGTTCGGGAAGAAACCTGACTGGCATGGGTGGAGGAGATACACGGAGGAGAGGAAGTGGAGAGAGATCGTGAAGCAGCTTTATTATAATGGGGAGCAGAGACACAGGCTGTGGCTGAAAGAGATGAAGACGATACAGCCAAGACTGGCCTGGGATGCCTTGGTCATGGGTAGACCAGAACCCATCCTCCATCTCCCTAGGCAAATATTCTCATCAGTGAGTGGAATCCCTCCCACAGACCTCCCAACACTCGCTTAGGGTTGGGGTGCTGGGATGGTAACACTTAGAAAAGGTTCATAGTAGTTTGTACCTTGAAGGAGATCTGACTCCTGTCCCCATGGAGACCTGATGGGGAAGACTCCATCCTTGCTTCCTGCACTTGCCAGATTTCAAGCAGAACATGGGGTGAGAGGACCCCAACACTCCTCCAGGAAGGAGTCAGATGCTCCCAAACCCCACCTTTTGCAGCCGCCATTCCTTCACCCACAACATGCTCTGAACTCCCTCTGTGACTCTGCCCCTTCCCTGCTTTCCATGGGAAGTCAGATGTGTCAACCTTCAAGAGCTGGGCTGCCTGCTAAGTGTCATGACAGAGAAACGCAATGTGCTGGATAAACATAGGTGAAGAAGAGATGAGTCTTTCAGTGGAGGTAACTGGGGGCTGGGTCTTGCAGGATGAAGAGGAGTTCTTTAGGTAGAGTAAGCATTCCAGGCAGAGGGAACAGCACATGGAAAAGCTCAGAGGCAAGCGGATGAGTGTGGCTGGGGAGTGAGAGGGTAGGTAGTGTACTATTATGAAGGGGCTTGGATGCCTTACTATGGAACCTAGCTAAGGTCCCCTGAGAGCTGACATGACCAGAGTTGGGTCCCAGCAGCCTCATGTTGGAGGTCAAAGTGCAGTGAGGAGAGTCTAATTTCTTACCTGAAGAATCCCCAGATGCCCAGGCGGTATTGAATGGTCACCACCACCACGTTTTCATGGGCAGCAAGGGCCAGCCCATCATAGGTTGATGCTGCACCCACCACCAGCCCCCCTCCGTGGATCCACACCATCACCTGGGCAGGGAGGAAGCAACATACCAGTTACAGGACACAGAGCAAGGGAGCACTCAGAAGGCGTCTTGTTTGGTGACCTACCTGTTGGTCACAACTGAAAGAGGATGTTATCCAAAGTTCACCAGCGCCCAGCAAGGTTGCAAAAGGCAGTCTCTCTCCTCTATAATTCTCCCAACCGGGGCCCAAGCCACCACCCCACTGCACATACCCTGGCTGCCCCTTCCTTTCTATCCAGCCTCCAGTGCCTCCTCCTCCCAAGGTTCTTCATGCTAAGAACATCATCATGGGTATAGCAAAGGCTAAGGATGTTGTGTTCTCCCCCTCACTCCCTCAAGCCTGAACTGTTCATGCAGCTCAGCGTACCCTTGAAGAGCCCTTGTATCTCAGCTTCATCTCAGTTTACTCTCTCATGGTGAAGTAAACTTCTCTGTGCTTGAATGATTGTCTCGGGAAGCACACATGCCTGTGGTGATGTCTCTTCCTTAAATGCCTCCTCTACGCCTCTGCATCCCCAAATCCTATCCATCCTGCACAGCTCAGCCTAAAACCCACCTGCTTCAGGATGCCTTCAATCAATGGACTAACGCTGTCTGAGAACTTACTATGTGCCAGGGACTCTGCTAATATCCGAGGATGAGAGTGGAAACAATTCCTCATGCATGGTTTTTGCATTTTAAAAGTCCACATAGCAGGGAAGAAGTGAAAGGGGTTAGAATAATAATATTGTAATAATAATATTAATAAAATAAAAAAGAAACTCATAAACTATGTCCCAAGTGCTGTTCTAAGCACAGTAAAATAAACTATCCACTGGATAGGTACTAATTCTGTCCCATTCTCCAGGTGGGAAAATGGAGGCACTTAACCTGCCCAAGGTCCTACAAATCAAAAATGGTAGCAGCAGGACTTTAACCCAGGCTGTCTGGCTCCAGAGTCCACATGTTGAGCTGCCCGGCATACTGCAGGCGCTGGCCACAGTGCAGTGAGTCCACCGTTAGGGTAGGGGTACGAGCCTGCCTCTACCTACTTAGCCAGGGACTGAGATCAAGCTTAGTGGTCACACTTGACGGATCATATGTGATGACTCTCATTTTGAGGAAACAGAGACTTAGAGAAGTTCAGAAATGTCCAGCTAGTCAAAGGCAGAACCTGTCCACAGTGCAGTGGGTCCACTGTTAGGGTAGAGGTACGAGCCTGCCTCTGCCTACTTAGCCAGGGACTGAGATCAAGCTTAGTGGTCACCCTTGACTGATCATATGTGATGATTTCCATTTTGAGGAAACAGAGGCTTAGAGAAGTTAAGAAACTTCCAAGTCTCTCAGCAGAGGCAGAATCAGGATTTAAACCTAGACCACGTAGTTCTAGAACCTGTGGGCATTCCTGGAGATTCTCCTGCCTCCAGGTTCCCAGAGCCCCTGTTTCTCCCACACATCTAATCCCTGCCTGCCTCCTGGGGAGGGACTGAGTGTGCATTCATCTTTGTGTGAAGGCTGAGCCCGCAGGCTGGCCTGCAATAACATGCTGAAGAGAGGATATGTCTCTACAGCCCAGATGGCAAGATATTTGAAGGCAGGGGCTGTGTGGAGTGGGTTCATGTTCCTCCTTTTGCTGAAACCCTGGGTCTGACTGTGTATATGGGGCACTGAATACACAATAGAAGAAAGAAAGGAAAGAAAGAAAGAAAGAAAGAAAGAAAGAAAGAAAGAAAGAAAGAATCAAGCTAGTGATCACCCTTGACTGATCATATGTGGTAATCCTCATTTGAGGAAACAGAGGCTTAAAAAGTTAAGAAATGTCCAGCTAGTCAAAGGCAGAACCAGGATTTAAACTCCTAGACCATGTAGTTCTAGAACCTGTGGCCATCTCTGGAGTGTTCTGCCTCCAGGTTCTCAGAGACCCTGTTTCTCCCACACCCTTAATCCCTGCCTGCCTCCCGGGAGGGACTGAGTGTGTGCATTCATCTTTTGTGTGAAGGCTGAGCCCAAAAAGCTGGCCTTCCGGGTAATATACTGAAGAGAGAATATGTCTACAGCCCAGATGGCAAGATCCTTGAAGGCAGGGGCTGCGTGAGTGGGTTCATGTTCTTCTTTTCCTGAAGCCCCAGGTCTAACTGTGTATAAGGCACTGAGTACACAATAGAAGAATGAATGAATGAATGAATGAATGAATGAGTAAAGCGAAAGAAAGAAAGAAAGAAAGAAAGAAAGAAAGAAAGAAAGAAAGAAAGAAAGAAAGGCAGGCAGAAAGACAGAAAGAAAGAAAGAAACTTTTTTCCCACTTCCTCTGTCTTACAAAGCACATGTAGAGACAACTTCTAGTCCCACATTCACAGACCTGCTCCCCCACTCCTGGGCACCATGGCACGGTGCCCCTGGGAGACTGGCTGGACACAACACCCCTTGTTTTTACACCCTGGAGTGGCCTCCTTTGCCAGAAGATCCTACCTACCCTGCAACCTGCAGCTGGCAGCCTGCCCCACCTCCTGCCCTTCACTTATTTGGGACATGCTGACTCACTGGGTCATCAGCCTTTGGCCAAGACAATTAGGGAGGGAAAATAGGTACAGAAAAATCCAGATATTTGGCCAAAGGCAAAAGGAAGTGCTTCTGGGTTTGTCCCACATTTTTCCCTTAAAGCCTGTACCTGGACAGTGAAAGTTACCCCAGATTAATGTTGGTGTGCTGGAGAAAGGCCACATATAAGCTCAATGCCCTACTCTGTGTCAGAAGCACTGGTTTGAAGATCAGAAGACTTGAACCAAAACTACCCTACTGGGTGACCTACTTTTCCCTCTGGGCCACAGTTTCTCTATCTGAAAAGAAAGAGTTGGGGTGTTGGTTTTTCTCTAAGTTCCTGCCACCGCTAACATTATTGAAAATCATGTCTTACCCACTCTGGGTATCAGATTGTTCATCTAGTAACTAAAAGTAATCATTCTCATCCTTCTATTAGCATGAGGGAACTTGGAATGATTAAGATGTTCATTAAAGATGCACAGCAAACTCCCCCAGAGTCCCTGTGTCACGAGGGGAAACTGAGAAGTGGAAAGCCTGTGTTTCCTGCGGAGGCCCTGAGGTCCTGGCCTTGAGGTGCAGTTCCCTCCTCAAGCTGCCTTCAGCCCCTTCCCATCTATACTAGAAGATCCGGGTTCCTGGAACTGACACACCTTGACCAGGGGATCCCACGGCTTACCGGCAGCCTGTTTTTCTTGGTCAAGTCAGCAGGAGTGTAAATATTGAGGTAAAGACAGTCTTCGGAAACCTTGAGAGGAATGTTCTCCTTTCGGTTTGTAAATAGCTCTGCGAGTACCTGCCCTGCCACGGCATCTTGGGAGCACCTGGGGAAGGGGAAACAAGAACCCGTGAAGTTCAACCACATCTAAGCCAGGTGTCATCTAAGGCAGCGCCTTGGACTGGGAGATTTAAGCCTGAAAATGGACTAGATGTTTACAGGCTCACGACATTGTAGTGAGTAGGAGGCTATCAGGGGCTCCAGGTGGGGGCGCTGGGACTTACTGAGGTCTCCTAAGACCAAGCAGAGTGAGAAGGGCTTCACACCTTTTCCCTTCCCGGAGCCTTTGGGATTCCGAGCATCAAGGAGGGGAGACAACAAATACACCGATCCTCCCTGGGAGGTGACATTTCCCTTATAGCTCAGGGGGAAATCTTTGTGGGACAACATCAGGAGAACTGTGCTCTAATTTGTCTCTCCCACACATTTACAGGGTGACTTTGGGTGAATTCCTTTCATATTCTGGGTCCCAATCTGCCAGGTCTAAGTGAGGGGAGTGATTTCTACATGGGTCTTGGAGCCCTGACATGCCAAGATTCTACCATCTGCCACTCCCAGGAAAGTGCTGTTGGTTACCCTGATGAAAGATCTCAAGGATACAACATAGATGAACATTGGTAATAGTTATTGAGTCCTCCCAGTGTTCCAGGCACTGTTTTAAGTACCCTTTGTATATTAACTCCTTTAAGCCTCAGATCAGTTCCATTATATAAGTTCTATTATCTCCATTTTACAAATGAGAAAACTGAAGCCCAGAGAGGTTAGAGAACCTGACCAATGTCACATAGCCAGGAAGATTCATTCCATGTGGTTCTTATACACAAGTATATTATAAGCCACAGTCCCAGATCTCAAAGTACCGGAAGGCAGGCATCACCACCCCCAGTAGGTACATGAGGAAACTGAGGCACTCAGGCTCTGGATGACACAGCTGTCAAGTGACAGAATCAGAGCCAGCAAAGGTGACTTCTTGATTTCCATCCTGGGAGATTTTCCTACAGAACACCAAGTACAAGCAGCATAACAATAATAATTGTTTTAAAAAGACATTCCAATGTGAAGAAAGGGGAAAAGAACTCAACTTGACTGGTCTTCAGATAAATGCAAACTAAAGAGGAAAATACTATTGCTGTTATTGTTATTATTATTTTGCCTATCCAATAGTCAAAACATTTTTAATAACCCCAAGAATTGCCAAGAGTCTGCCAAATGGAGATTTTCATACATCAGTGGGAGGAGTGTAGTTGGAATATTTTGGGAGGGAAATCAAACAAGAGATATACACTCTTTCACTCAGAAATGTTATTTCTGAGAAGTTATCCTAAACTATTCATGAGTGTGCATAAAGGTTTCACATTCATGATGTTATATCATTAAAAACATCCTATGTAACTTAATAACCCCAAATAAAAGCTTGGGGAAACTAATTATGGTTCAATACCCAGTGTAATGCAGCTGTTAACATCAGGCTGTGCTATTTCATGGGATGGAATGATGCTCATGACATACATTTTAAAGGAAGAAAGTATAGCAACAGGCAAAAAACTGGAATACAAACAAAATATTAGATCATAATACTTTACCATCTAAAACACTGATAGTTGTTCTCTCTGGGTGGTGGGATATTGCATGTGATTTTAATATTCTTACTTTTCCTTCTCTGAATTTCCTAAATTTTCCATAATAAGTATATACTACTTTTGCAGTCACAAAATAAAAACAGTAAATATTATTTTCTAAAAAAGGAAAGAAAGAAGGTAGTCAGAGGTGGACTGCTGGAAAGCCTCCGAATGCCTGGCTGCCGAGATGAGTGGGGTCCGTTCTGACGCCTGTAGGGTCCTTGGTACCCTGGGGAGTGGCGGTGAGGCCAATTAGAACCTTTGGGCTTTTCTTCCCACCTTGGCCAGGGTGAATGGACACATCTGCCATCGTTCTCCTCAGGAATAGGGAGTTGGGCACACCTGAGAGTTGAGCACTAGCCGAGTGGACATCTCAGTACACTTGCTACCCACACACCTCCTGGCCCACCCCTCTAACCAACTATGTCAAAATTCAAGACCGTGGAATTCATGGGATCCTTCTTTCTGATCTCCCTCACCTGCTTAACTGCTTCTTTGTTTCCAAGGCACTTATCCCGTTCTAACAGATCACACAATCCATGAGGTAATTTGCATGTTGTTCTTCTCTGTCTCCCGCTGCTAGAATGCACGCTCCATGAACCTAGGGATCTTTGCTTTGTTCACTAATGGATCCCAAGAACCCAGAAACATGTTTGGCACACAGTAGGTGGTCAATAAACGTGTGTTAAGTAATGGACTCCAGAATGCTGTGAGACTTCTGGAATGTTCTTAAGGGTCTACAATGATCTTAAGGATTCCAGAGCAAAGGATCAGCCCATCAGGGGAACTGCCTTGACTCCTTCCTGCATCACTTTGAGGTGAACAGCCCCATGGACACATACCACAGCCACCCCTGGCTTACATAGGAGGGTAAGAGGTGGCATTCTTCACGAAGCTCCATGGCTCTGCAGGCTGCGGTGGAGTAAACCTCAGGGGTCCAAGAGGGGGCTTGGCAAAAGGGATTCCCAGGAAAACAGCCACAGGCTGTGCAAATCCTTCTAAGCTGACGAACTTCCCCAGCACTTTGCCATGCACGGTGTCCACCACAGGTGGCGAGGACGGGTGCCCTGCTGGACATGGAGAAGAAATCAGGATTCATCACAGGCAAAAGGCTGGACCCGGATTCAAGGTGGGGTTTGCCACTTTCTAACTGAGTAATCTTAAATAAGTTACCTAAACCCTCTAGGCCTCAGTTTCTGTTGATATACCATAGGGATGAGGATCAATGTTCTTCCTAACTCATCGAGCCGGTTTAAGGAGCAAATTAGAATTGGAGGCATAAAAACATCCAGCCAAAAATAAACGCAAGAAGGAGAACTACTAGGAAAGAACAAGACATTTAGCTTCCCCCTTAGAAGCCTCTGGAAACATTTATCCATTAGAATCCTGGCACTGAGCCGCATGCTGGATGAGAGGATGAACAAGGGGTGCCCCATATTCTCAGAAGCACTGACCCTTGTAGGGAAGGGTCACATATACACCTGGGCCTACAACTGGGAAGGAAGTGGCCGTGTCCTGGGAGAGGTACCCATAAGGCAGTCTAGGAATTAGATGAGGCCTCAAGGCCTTCTGATTGTGGGCATCATGGAGGAGCTGGGACTTGCGGTAGGGGAGGATTGAATCACGGGAGATGAGACGCAGGGAGTTGTACACAGCAGAGAGAAGAGAATGTGCTGTGGCTCAGAGCAGCAGAACGCAGAGCCTGTCTGGGAGAGGGGGCATGGCCCACATGCACCAGGTGGAATCTGTGGGGAGTGGAAAATATTCCTGGAATGACAGAGCGCATGTCAGGGAGGGCCTAGAATGCCAGGCAAAGCACTTGAGTTTTCTATAGTGGACAAATAAGCAGCAGGAGCCGTTCCAGATAAAGGATGTGATCAGGTCAAGGAAGATTCTTCTGGTGGCCCTGGGCAGGTCTGCTCCGTTCTTGCAGCACAGACACTGCTTCCTCGCTGAGCTGAAATTCATTTCCCACAGCCTCTGCATCAGTCCTGGTTCTACCTGTCATGGGACTATACTGGCCTGATCTGACCTGCAGCCTGTGGCCTTTCAGACACTTGATCTTGCTGCCCCCTCAGGTCTGGCTCAGTGACCTCCAGTTGATCTAAGCTTCCCTCTAGGAAATCATTTCCAGACTCTCGCATGCACTCCAACTGCTATGCTTTGGATACAGACAAGACGTCAACACCTCCCTCAAAGCGTGGAGCTAGAACAGAACAGAACAATTCGGATTTGGTCTTAAAAGAGGGAATATCCAATCACAATACCAAACCCCTTATGCAAAGCCCAGCTACACAACAGCATCCATGTGTCATCTTATCAATAGTCAACCACAATATCTAATGTTTAGCTTCATTTTTGTTGTTGTTGTTGCTAATTACAAATAATACTGAGATGAACATCCTTGAAAGCACTATGTATTGGCACTGCAATGGTGGTGGCATTACAAAGGTGGCTTGTTTTCTTGGTGATTTCCATGTTTTCTGCTGTAATAGGTTTCTGATCTTCACCTGAAATCCTCCCACCCCATCTTAATTATTTTAAATTTTTAAATAAAAAAAAGAAAAAAAAATATGAAGAAAGCCTGTGATGATGTCTAAGAGTATTTCGAAAGACTTGGAGACCAGGCACAGCGGCTCACCTGTAATCTCAGCACTTTGGGAGGCCAAGGCAGGCAGATCGCTTGAGGTCAGGAGTTCAAGACCAGCCTGGCCAACATAGTGAAAACCCCTCTCTACTGAAAATACAAAAATTCGCTGGGCATGGTAGTGTGTGCCTGTAATCCTGGCCCTCGGGAGGCAACAGCATCCATGTGTCATCTTATCAATAGTCAACCCTGTAATGTCAATATTTAGCTTCATTTTTTTTGTTTTTGTTGCTAATTACAAATAATACTGAGATGAACATCCTTGGAAGCATGTGTATTGACACAGCAATGGGTGGTGGCATTACAGGTGGCCTGTTTTCTTGGTGGTTTCCATGTTTTCTGCACTGTATGGGATTTCTGATCTTCACCTGAAATCCTCCCACCTCATCTTAATTGTTTTAAAATTTTAAATAAAAAAAGAAAAAAATATGAAGAAATATGATGATGTCTAAAAGGTATTTGAAAGACTTGGAGACCAGGCACAGTGGCTCACCTGTAATCGCAGCAGTTTGGGAGGCCAAGGCAGGCAGATCACTTGAGGTCAGGAGTTCAAGACCAGCCTGGCCAACATAGTGAAAACCCCTCTCTACTGAAAATGCAAAAATTAGCTAGGCATGGTAGTGTGTGCCGGTAATCCTGGCTCCTGGGGAGGCTGAGGCAGGAGAATCACTTGAACCCTGGAGTCAGAGGTTGCAGTAAGCTGAGATTGCACAAGTGAATTTCCAGTCTGGGTTAAAGAGCAAGATGGAAGGAAGGAAGGAAGGAAGGAAGGAAGGAAGGAAGGAAGGAAGGAAGGAAGGAAGGAAGGAAGGAAGGAAGGAAAGCAGGCAGGCAGAAGGAAGGGAAAGAAAAGAAAAGGAAAAGACTTGGTCCCTGACCAGAGGTGGGGGAAATGGAAGGGAAAGAAGACCAAAGAGCTGGCTTGTGATGCTGGATCACTGTTCACATAGGCTCAGTGGAGATGTCAGTGGGATATCCTAGCAAGATGACGCCACTGGACGAGCACACTTCAAGGCTGGAAGGAAGCCTTGTGGGAGAGCAGGGCAGAATCTTCTTCTAGACTATGAGGGGTACATACCATGGATGTGTATGGCTTCATCAAAGATTCCAGTGTGAGAGGCAAGGGAAAAAAACAATGATCAAACACAGGGACTACTATAGCCAAGACAGAAGATCCATCAGTGTAGGGAGGAGAGAACATTCCGGTGTCCTGGAAGCCCAGGAAGGAAGAGGGTGAGGAACCAGCTAAGAGTGCTGAGGGCTTCAGGGAGGTGGAGGAAGGTCAAAGCAGAGAAGAAACCACTGGTCTTTCTCAGCTCAGGGATTCATTTAACAGGATGAGGAGGATGGCAGCCAGAATGCCAAGGGTGAAAAAGCGGGTGAATGGGGGGAAGCAGAAACAAGTATGAGAACAAGAGCAGTTGCCACTGATGTTATACGAAACATGAACATGGTGGGCACCTACTATGGGCCAGGCATGCATTCAAGTTCGTTTAAATTAATCTTCAAAAAGGCCTTGCTGGGTAGACATCAACATGCCCATTATACAGAGGAGGAAACTGAGGAAGTGGAGGCAGCCTGTATGGTCTTCCTAAAGAAGGAAATGGATGGCATTGCCAGGAGTAACCAGAGGTAAAGGAACATTCAGTTTCAAATAGGGTTCCTCTCTTCCTCTGCCCTTCCCCACAGTTCCAGAGCTCTCACACTGTCAGGCTGCCAGAAGGAAGACAGGATGCAGACGGGGCCTGGGCTGTCAGGATTCAGGACCCACAGACAGACCCAGGCATGATTTTCGGGTTGACCTTGGGCAAGTACATTTCCCTGTGTGAGTCTCTGATTCTCCGTCTATAAAATGGCACGGGGGCATTTCGAGGCCCCTCGCTGCACCCCTGTATGTACCATGTCTTTTGCTTTCTGTATTCTGATGCTCTGGCATCTGGGGACCACTACAGCCAAAACAGAAGATCCATCAGTGTAGGGAGGAGAGAACATTCCGGTGTCCTGAAGCCCGGGAAGAAGAGGTCGAGGAACCAGCTAAGAGTGCTGGAGGGCTTCAGGGGGAGGTAGAGGAAGGAAGGTCAAGTGGAGAAGAAACCACTGGGCTGGTCTTTTCAGTCTGTGAGATTCATTCAACGGGATGAGGAGGATGGCAGCCAGAATGCCAAGGGTGAAAAAGTGGGTGAATGGGAAACAGAAATAAGAATGAGAACAAGAGCAGTTGCTGCCGATGTTATATGCAACATGAACATGGTAGGCACTCACTATGTGCCAGGCATGCATTCCAGAAGTTTGTTTAATCTTCTTCAAAGAAGCCTTGCTGGGTAGACACTCACCATGCCCATTTTACAGAGGAGGAACAAGGAAGTGGAGGCAGCCTGTATGGTCTTCCCAAGGGAAGCAAACGGATGGCATTGCCAGGAGTCACCAGAGGTAAAAGAACATTCGGTTTCAAACAGAGTTCCTCTCCTCTCCTCTGCCCTTCCCCACAGTTCCAGAGCTCACGGTGCCGGGGCTGCCTGCCAGAAGGAAGACAGGATGCAACGGGCCTGGGCTGTCAGGATTCAGACCAGAGACAGACCCAGGCACGATTTTTGAGTTGATTCTGGGCAAGTACATTTCCCAGGTGAGTCTCAGATTCTCCGTCTATAAAATGCACAGGTATTTTGAGGCTCCTCAAGCTGCACCGCCTCTATGTACCACATGTCTTTGCTTTCTGTCATTCTGATGCCTGCATCTGAGGCCTTGTTGACCTTGGAGAAACTGTCCTCCCAGAGTCCAGCCAACCTCGAGCCCACATCCCAACCGGCCTCTTGATCTGGTGAAGCCATGCCCTGGCCAATACCCACCTTGCCCCATCCACGCCAGGCTAGGTGCCAGACAGCTAGGAACAGCTCCCTGTACCCCAGAGAGCCTCCTGAATTCATCCTGTCCTCGTCAGTCCTCAGCCTGCCTGCCCTGCCTTGCCTCTTCTTTCCAGTGGAAGCTACAGTAAAAGCTCCCTTTGGCCTGAGATCCACTCCTGTCTCTCCTGCTCTGCTTCTTCCCTCTTGTGCCTCGCCTGGTGTCCTCTGTTGAGAACATGAATAAGAAATTGTCTTTTAATGAAAAGAGGTCCTGATATAGGTCTGACCACAGCCCAAATTTTCTATTCATACACCACGCTTAAACAAAGCCTCATTTGTCCACCCTTTTTTCTTTTCGAGTTTTTACATACTCAGGCGCCTGCCAAGAGTGTTTAGAAACAACAACTCATTTCCTCTCACCAAAAGCCCAATGAGGACGGTGAGCACTGCCACCTCTATTTCGTAAGAGGTAACTCAAGCAGGAAAAGCTCAGTCACTATAGTGGGACACACAGCTGTGAAGGGCCAAGCAGTGAACTCAAACTCCAGGCACTCTGGCTCCACAGTCGATGCTCTTTAATATTCTTGCTGAGCCGTCTCCTTG